GCTTCCAGCATCATAGCAACATGCAAGCCATTTCAGTATGACAGACTGACAGATGGGTGGTGGACCTTCCTGATGGCATTCATCTTCCAGTGGGGGAGATGGACAGGTACTTATGAACAGGATCACATCGGCCTGTGCTTGTTCAGCTTGCCCCCTTGGCTGTGTGCCCCTCTCCCCCCTCCCCCCAGTGCCATGGAAAGGGCCCTGAACCAGGGAGCTGGAGCCCTGGGTTACGTTCCTAACTCTGCATGTGACTCATGGCTGCCCTTGGGCAAGTCAGTTTCCTCATCTGTAAAATGGGCTGAGGTAGTGAGGATTACAGGCTTCAGTGCTTGGCACAGGGTCTGGTTCCTTATAAGAGCTTGATAAATGATAAATGTTACAATCTCAGATTTCAGGATTCTTGCAGCCTTTCTTGGTTCCTGAGATTCTAGGTGCTCTCATTTCCCAAGAGTCTGAGATGGTCGTTTCTAACATTCTGTGGTTCTAGGATTCTTTGCTCATGGAGGGCCCTGCCTCCCATGCCCTCTGCCTCCTGGTTCTCCCAACCCCCACCGCAAATGGGGCAGAGGGGGCTGGGCAGCTGCCTTGTCATGGCCCACATTCAGGGCTGGCTGTGGCAGCCCAGGGCCCCAGAGCCAGGCTGGAACCAGGATACCAGCCTCCAAGCCCCAGGCCTGCGTCATCTCCGCGCGCCCTCAGTCAGGACCACCAGGGAAAGCACCAACCGGCCTTTCCAGGCTGAGACAGGGCGTGTGTTCGGTCCAGCTCTGTTCCTAACATGGGTGTGACCTTGGGCAAGTCTTGGAGCATAAGGGCTCTCTTTTGTACTATGGGGAGGTCTGCGGTCCTGGAGGCCCCTCAGTCCTGGGGTAGTCCTACGAGTGAAGGAGGGGGCCATGGCCAGGGTGGTAGGGAAGGAAAGGGCAACTGTCTCTGCTAGAATCAACTACGCTTTTATTAGCACAAAATAACACTGACCCAGCAGCCCCAGGCCCGGAAATAAGTTAAGGCACAGAGCAGGCGCGGGGCATCTTTCCAGGTCC